TGGAGCTTTTCACATTTTCCATGATTTTCCATCAATCTCTTTAGTTGTTGATACGACACTACTCCAATTTTTTCCTTGATCTGCTTAATATAGCTGTGTCTTGGTATTTCTCATTCCCTCTTTTCTTCTATTTTTTCTTCGTTAATATTATTCATAACTTCGTCATGTCATATCAAATGCCCCAAATAATTACATAGTTTTATATTATTAACTTTTTTATACCCCCTGGCAATTCACACAACGTAGTCCCAATGTAAGCAAAGCTTGTATAATAATCATACTAATTAATATAAATGTTTATATCGTGCGAGTTATAGAACCTGCGATCATCGGAATCGGTTAAACCGCTAGATCACCGAGGCCGTCAGCAGAAACAGAAATACTTATTGACACAGCTAACGATTTGTCGGAGTAACTCCAGCCACGATGCTCTCATCCCTTCAAATTTAACAAATTATAGTCGCGTTACATATTTGATACTGTTGTTTTGTCAAATATGTGATTAATATTACTCCTAATAAAGCTTGTTTTATTATATGGATAGTATTCTTCTGAAGTGGTACTACATAATTGAAGTATTCCCTTATTAATGTTACTAAATCTTAAACTTCATTATATATTACATTTTGAAGCGAGTTCACTAATTCCAGTTTTAATTAATCCAGTAAACTTACTACAATAGCTTTAACTAACAATACCTTATAATGTAATATAAAACCAATTAATGCTATTTTTGTGTAGAAAAATAAAATAACATTCATCATGCCCTTGATATTAAACTTTCATGCGGCGGATGACATTTCTTTTTTATAATACAGGGGACAAACGAGCATGCGGCTCACCTGATGGTAAGTGATTACCGCCGCATGAGCACCCGCAACATCAGGGCAATTGCAAGTACGTTGTCGGCCTTATAAAAAGGAATAAGCTCTTTTCTTGAAGGTTTCAATATCGTATCGTTCGGAAATACCATTGCTGGAAGGTAATTCCACAATGTGGTTGTGCATGGCAAAAAGTTTCTAGAAAACCGCGCTGTGGAGGACCGCCATTCATCCAGAAGATCACGATGTTATTTTAGTTTCTGTCGGGTGGCACGGTGGTGAAATTCAGCAGCTGGTATTAATCCGAACAAGTCCTCAGAACACACCCCGTGATATATGCAGTAGAAAATGTACAGGAATGCAATATCTCGCCGCAAAGCCAATGGGTCGAGTCTGTCACATAGACGTTGGTTACCAAGACATCAGCCTCATACATCACTAAATAGTAATAATCGCCACCGTTCTGTCAAGTTCTGTCAGGAACGTATTGAATGAGAACAAGAAGAAGAATGCCACTGATAAAGTAAATCTATAGGAGTAGACTTTTATGAATATTTACAGTAATATAGGTGCATCAGAATAATAAATACATAATAACTTATTAAGCTGTTGAGTAAATTGGACAAAATATAACAATGAGTCACATAAGTCAGGAAAAATTCTCCCATTTGTGAACCATTCATGCGTGCGTTGCAAAAACTGTAGGACGTATATAATGTACTAGCTCTTGCGCGCGGCTTCGCTCCCGTTAATTTATCCCCTTAGGGGTGGAATTTATCAAAATTCTTTCTTAGGAGATGCCTACGTCATAACATCTAGCTGCATGCCAAATTTCAGCCCGATCCGTCCAGTGGTTTGGGCTGTGCGTTGATAGATCACTATGTCAGTCACCTTTGAGTTATATATATATTTGGATAATAGAAATGTATCCCTTAAATAGATTTGCAAAAAAGTAAAGATATATCTATATTTTATGTAAGAACCGTTATAACCAAAGTAGAAAACTGTATTGTATTTAATTTTGATACTACAAGAATAATGTGTATATTACAGTACTAAATTAATTATTATCATAAAAAGTATATTTAACGGTTTTGGAATTTAAAGTAGATGGACTTTTTCCTATATACTAAGTGATGTATATAAATAGTTTGGAAGTTAGGACGATTGGAAACAATTCAGACACGGGCAATATTCATCTTACGAGTTCCAATTGAATTCTGGATAGGTTTTATTTATCAGTAAGTAGTAATGAATACATGCACACTTTGATTTGTGTTTAGTAACATTATATATTGCAGGAAAGGTAATAATTTTTTTAATGATATTGTTCGAATTATATATATTGTTATATATAATTCTAACAATAGTATATATCCAATTTGTACATAATTAAGAAGCATATAACATATTATATAAAGATGCAGGTATAAAAAGCATACGCTATCATACATAGTCAAAACACCGTCCTCGCCGGCGAAGACGATGACCTCAATCACGCCATATAGCACAATCAACCGAGCGCCTTCTCGCGCCCGGGCGCACGACACCAATGCTCCTGGTCGCCCCTACGACAAAAACTTCGTCCAATTCAAACGAGGATCGTAGTTACGACCGCCTGATACTAACCGTAGTATACGACTTTAGTCAGGCAGAAGTTGGCCTTCAGCCGCTCCATAAGTTCTTCCGCTAGTTTGATGAAGTCATCCCCCTATCGTCCTTTGAAGCTGTAAAGGCCAGCTGCGACCAACAGCTTTAGAGTATTTCGAAAACAAGTACAATATGGTTTTATCGCTAAAGAATCTTCCAGACAACTTCTGTTTAGAGGACATAGAGGAGCAAAGAACACAGGTGTATGTATATTAGTTGTAAAAAATATTATGACCTTTCAAATAAATTTCTTTCATTGTTTCAATATTGATAACCTTATTTAATCACACAAGTAGATAGACCAGATAATTGTGTATCCATATAATATCATACATGTGAAAGTATATAAAATAGTATGTCTGTTTGATTGAGTATCTGTCTATTTTACTGTCTGTTTGTTTCTTAAATTTCCACAAATTAACGAATGAACAATTTTAAAGAAATTTGACAAAAAGATAAGTTGTATCACGCGTAAATCAATAGACTTTATCATTTATAATACATATATAGAAATATATAAAATTGAAGTGTCTGTTTCTAATTTCAATTGGGCAACTTTTCACCAAATGCAAATGAAGGTATTACATACGATACGGTACTTACATAAATAAAAAAATTATTTGATGTTAGTACTCATTTTGATGGGACTTCCACTCGCAGATAGATAATATTGTATGGAGTAACTTATGGTACTTTTATTTTAGAAATGTTATTTATTTTATTTCCACGCGGAATAAGTTTCGTGTAACAGTTAATATACAAAACGATATCATTTTACGACTAAATACCTCAACGGTTTTTAATGGAATTTGTCGTGTTAACAGATTTTATAACGACATCAGACAATCTATCTTATATAGTAAAAAAAAAAAACAGAAGAATTCGTATTCTTCTGTTTTTTATCTGTAGCTAACTAACTTTACACATACGAAATTTGAGCTTGTTTCATCGCATAGTTACCTGATGTTAAGAGTTAATACTGTGTAGTATAGTATAATAATAATAGAGCCATTATTCTATATCAGACTACATTGTTCACTATACCATACGAATATAGTAGCTAGCTAACTTTATGCATACTAAATTTGAGCTTGTTTGTTTGCATTATTACCTGATGATGATGAGCAATAATATAGTATAGGATAATAATATTAGTGCTATCATTCTACACTAGATACCATAGTCCAGTATAGCATAATAATAGACAAACCCTAGAAACCTGATGCTACATAGAAAAATAATAGTCTATACAAAAGCAGAGCCTTCATGATAACCCTACCGTTCGGAGTACAGTCATAACAAAATTATTATTGTAATTAGGGGTCCGCATTTGGAAAAAAGTATACCTAATATTTATATGACTCTTTTATATAAATAAAATGGTAAACAAGCGGACATTTTAACTGATGAACAGTGTTTTCTTTCGCTAATAGATACAAACATCGTTTTATTATAAAATGAATTTGATTGGTTTTTTATTACTAAGGTAGCATTCAAGCAGCAATATAGTTACGTGTGCGTTTGCGACCTTTAAAAATATTAATATACCCTTCTTGAAAAACCACAACCGTCTGTAGAGAAAAAAATATATAATTCGTTTTTTTTTTATAACTGTACTAAAACTTTTATATTTTACCATATTTCTGTTGTAATTTAGATATTTCAGGACAATCAGCATCATCTAATTCCAAGCTAAGTAGAGCTCCTGTTATGGGTGTTAAACAGTTGATACAAATCCTAAGATTATACATATACATAGAAAATACCGATATAAATAATCATACTCATGACTACAAATATTTCCACCATATGAGGAATCAAACCTGCGACCACCGAAAGACGGCGTGCTAACTACTACACCACTGAGACTGTCAAAATGCATTTCACATATCTTATATTTATAATACATTAGATAAGACGACATTCACGTATTAGATTTGTAATGCACCGGTCAGTATATTCTCTGTTAATTCTGTATTTAACTGATAACTAACGCTGTGTTAATCCGTCTTATCGCTTGCTTCATAATAAATCACATTAACTTATAAATCACAACATTTGGGTAATCGACTTTAATCCAGTTCAGTAAATATACCATACACCATAGAACTAGCCAAACAGTTCGGCTTAGCACCTATGTACAACGTAGTTGAGTTATATAATATATTTATATAAATATAACTAAATGTATATATGAATGTTCTGGAAGAAATTTTCGACATCCTTATGAAGAACCGTATCCGAAAAGTAATGTGATTAGGAGAAGTAAGTGGAATTATAGACGTATCACTTAATGTTTTTGTTTAAAAAAATATTATGAACATTAAAAAAAATATATATAGTAGTTATTTCGAAAGAAAATTGTTAAATTTTCTACTCTATATTATGCACGGAACCATTAAAATACTAATGTTTTTTTTCTAATTTTTATATCTTATTCATTTATCTGCTTCATGTGTTTACGATAACAATGTGTATTTAACCATACTAGTCAATCGCTGCATAATTAGTTTCACAGGAGACGTTACACTAACTATGCTCTACATTCTAATAGTTATAGTGCTAACACTGGTGCTTTGGCACCTATTCGTCAACTACCATAAGGATGCCAGGATATTCAGAAAGGTGCCGGGAACACCGGATAGATTCTTATTCGGAAATGCTTTGGAAGTATATGTGCCGCCAGGTAATTTATTTAATTTTTCATATTACATTAATAAAATGGTTTTTTGTCTGTTCACGATTAAAGGCTTGTACATAGCATAAGTGGCTCAAAATATCCAATGACTAAAGGATTTTAATGTTAACTATGAACAGGTTTTAATGTAATTCGAATGTAAGTGTTAAGATGAATTGTATTACGACGACGAACTCACATGAAGTTGTATATTTCCAGAAAATCTTATTTTTTATATATGTAATTTCATGGATAATTTTGAATAATAAAATATAAAATTTAAAGTACTGGTTACTAGCTTAATTCCGTGCCTCGTTGAAAATTTTCACTTTAAGTATCCTAGACTAGTTTATAAACGAGTCTAAGATATGATCTATCTGTGCAATAAATTAAGTTTAATAAATTAATTCATTCGAATCCGTTAAGTAGTTTTTGAATGAAAGAGTATCAAACATCTATAATTATAAACTTACACGTTTATAATATTGCATGCTTAAAAATAACAAAATAAGCGATATTTATACTTTAATTATACTAGATCGTTTAAAAAATTGCTATTTCGAATTTTAACAATTTAGGTTAAGGATTATATATATATAATTAAAATTAGGAATCATTCATAAAATATTCGTTTACTTGTTATTTCAGTTTATGTACATTCTTAAAAAATATAAATATAATATGTGAATGTATATATGCTTGTTAAAGGTATTCATAGCATAAACGGAAATCATATACAATGCTTAAAGTAGCATTTAAAAAAATTTCCTTTACTAAATAACCTGCGCAACTCTGTCATTACATTTTTTTTTTGACATCACAGTTTTACTCTTTTATCAAATGTTATGTCAATCATCCAAAGAATATATTATTGTAAAGTGGTTTGTTAATTTGATAAAAATGTATATCTATTATACATTTTTTTTTAAATTAGCAAATTATAATTTATATTATATTATTTCAAATAGCAAGCTTTATAATAATAAACCAAAAATCTAATAAATGCATTGCAGTAAAAGTGATTGATTAAATAAATTATCTCAACAAATTATGTCGATAACGGTTTATACTGTCTTCTTTATCTTCTTCTTAATTATGTATTCTTTATTCTTAATTATTTACATATCACAAAACTAATATATTACTGAAATAGATAAAAAATATCAAATATTTGAAATTGAACTCTAAAGATAAAACATTAAAGTAAATTTTCCAAAGTTTTGAATTAATCCACTATTGTACTAGGTGTTACGATATAATGATATCTTAAAATTGTAACGAGGCTTATACAGTCTGATTCTCTGTTTGTGTGTCAAATTGTCAATACATTCCCAAAAAGAATTAAAGGAAGTACAGTGTAATAGTTATTAGAATATATTGTTAAATATGGATCAACATATAGGCTAGGGAAAGTTGGAAATATACCCGAAGGCGGCCCAATTTTTACAAAATTGTCAATACGTTACTAACAATTTAAATAATCAATAAATCAAATAACAAATAGCGTCTATAAATGTACACGAGTACAAAGTTGGGAGCATCACCAGTTATATAAATAAGAATATAAGTACAAAATAACTAACAATAACAGTGATAATTATAAATTTATATCGTTGTTTAGAGATCAAATATTGATGAAGAAACATAAGACTTAACGAGCCAGAGATATAAACTATCAACAGATGGGCCAACATTATGCTTGTTCATAAAATTAGGATCTAAAAATCGGTTAAATAATTACAATATTAATTCAGGACATATTACACAGCTCCATCTAGTCCCAAGCTAAGCAGAGCTTACGATACTAGATAACTGATATATTTAAATACATTTTTTAAATGCATACATATTATATTTATGAATACAAATATTTGTACCGTGCGAGGAATCGAACCCGTGACCACTGGAGGCAAGGCGGTGTGCTAAACAACTAGACCACTAAGGTCGTCTAAGCAAGATCGTTTATATATTACATAGTTACATATAGGAACTATATTCTTGATGTCTAAGTTAGTTGAAAACAAACATATATCTGCGTCAAGTGCTTGTTATGTTACGATATTAATAAATATGTTTATTATCTATTGCTTATTGATAATATTTTGTATTAAATAATAGAAACTATGTAGATATCATCTGTATATTATTTATATTATTTTTTAAATTAGTTATTGATCTTATTTGTATTAGCCCTTTATAACTGATATACCTACTTAAGTACGTATGTTTTTTTTTCTGGCCTTTATAGTCGACCACTATAAAGGCCAGAAAAAAAACATGTACTTAAGTAGGTATATCAGTTATCCATAACACATGTTCTGCTTAGCTACGTCATTACTGTATTGCGTTGCAACAGATTTATTGAAATTTATATATAAATACAAGAGTGTTAAAAATAAAGATATTGCATTTATAATATATATTACGCCGACCCCAAATAAATGGGATAAGGAAGAAGCAGATGATTGCACTTATAATTTAAAATAGTTTATGAATATTTATGTGCGCAAGGGTAGGTTCATGCCTGAAAGATATCTCTTCCGTACAACCTGACACTGTTACTTACTTGTTAATAATTAATACAAGTTATTATAGGCAAAGTTGCGGGTAACAACTAGTATACAATAAGATGAATTATGTCCAATTTCTATTAATTTGTGCACCATTTTAGAATTCACACAAATTATTTATTTTCAGACCAACTATTTGATGTCAGGAGAGCATTGGCTAAAAAGTTCAAGGGTATATATAGAATCTACGTTTACCCGTTTAGATTTTTATCAATTTACAATCCAGAAGACATAGAGGTAAGAATTACTCATCAGTCCGTATTATTACCAATATAGATTTAGAATAAACTTGCGTGTGGTAACTCATGCATTTTTAGTTACCAAGCAGTTTAATTTGTATGATGTGTGTCAGTTGAGAAGTTAGATAAACCAGTGCAAGTACCTTTGGAATGGCAATGCACGAGTGTTATATTATGAGTGACACTAAATAACGTGATCTCCGTAGTGCTGTTCATGTATACAACCGACATTTACCATTTACCATAAGATTCATCAGTTTGTTTGCCTATCCAATTCCATAACAAAAGAAGTAATAATTATATTTATTTGCCTTCACGAATAATGTGTAGAGACATAACGGTCTTAGACTCACTAGGGATAGTGAATACCACCGTCATAGTCATAGGCATAGGTAAAAACCAAAAATCATACTTCTTAGATTACCGCGTGTGTAGCAAAATTAGGACCGATTTCTCATAGTGTACTCGCCTAGCCAATTTTACTCCACTACTTTTGAAATATCAATATTTTTCACTGTTTCTCCTTACGTTTGTGTGCGCAACAAAACAAATTATTCAGTTTTATAATATTAGTATAGCTTTAAATTAAGTGTTGTCTTCACAGATTATATTGTCTGGTATGAAATTCCATGAGAAGTCATTTCTGTATGAATTTATCCAGCCTTGGTTGGCAGAGGGACTCCTTCTTAGTAAAGGTATGGTCTTATTTAGTTCTTTAACTCTAATTAATTAGTACTAGTTGGTAGTTTGTGTTTGCATTTCAACTTCAAAATGTAAAGTTAGAATTAAATTATTTAGAAGAGGAACACACAAGTTTACTTGTTCATCTTGTATTGAGACAGCTTTCCAAATGAACAGTTGTATAAAAAAAATGTGATGACTACTCAAAAGTGCTTCAATGTAAGTTTATTTGAATAAATAATTTTCTATTCTATTCATATTCACGACTGTACATAACCTTATAAAAAATATTAATTTGTTGTGGATTGTAGTGATTGATTTGCCTACATATAGTATGAGGTAGTGCTTTCTACTACTACTACCCCTATTCAGAAAACAAAAGGTGAGTTCGAATCTGGCCAACACGAAATATAGTATGTCAATTTATATTTATCACTGACTCAACGGTTAAAGAAGATCTGTAATAAAGCATGAAACTAATCGTAATATGGGCTTAGTAGCATAAAATAAATAAATAATCCTAGGACGATGGTCAGACGGTCACCTTTTACTACTATCCACGTATATAATAATGTTATAATTGTGCACACGAAATTAGAATCTTAAATCCAGAATCTGTAAAAGAAATTCGCTGAAACAACCCTTGACAGATCAATTGAGCATCCAATGCAAATACTAATATTTTTTTGCAAATACATATCCAAGGCGTAAATATAACATAGAAAACATTCAAACTAATGTAAACATCCTTATACATACAGATATTTGTATCATGCAAGGAATCAAACCTTCGACGATCGGAGTAAGGCAGTGTGCTAAACCGTTAGACCACTGAGACCGTTACGGCTCGAAGCTAAATATTATTTAATATTTTAGGTGCAAAATGGCAACAAAGGAGAAAGATCTTAACGCCTGCCTTCCACTTTGATATTCTACGTCAGTTCCATATAACTATGGAGGAGAACAGTAAGCGGTTGACAGAAACCTTGGCGGATGTTTCAGGGGAAACCAATATTATACCTATTATAAGCAACTACACGCTAAATACTATATGCGGTGAGACATACATACATATAAATTACTGCACCTTGCAGTAATTTATAATATATCTACTTTATAATATAAAAGATAGCTTATTTACTTCATACTAGTAATCCCCACCTAAAAAGTTACACTTTTTAATTTAATTACCTATAATAACTTTACATAATCATTTATAAAGTTTTTTTTATAAAAGAACCACGCTTTAAAGCCGCGTATAGCTATCCAGCATGAAGAAATCAAGTAGATCCGGGAAATAAACATTCACCGATACAGTCACTTGTTGATACCACTTTTAATGTCCGTTTAAATATATTAATAACGTGTATAGAACACAAACTTTAAAAATAACCCGTCACGATGCATTACAAATCTTTGAAGTTTTCGGCTTGTTTTATACTATGTATAACTAGCATACAAACCTTCTTCTAGAATCACTATACCTATTACTGAGAACTGCATTAAAATTGAATGCGTAATTTAAAAGATATAAGCGAACATACAGCGACAGCGGCTTTCTTTTATAATATGTAAAGATATATAAAATTAAATATTCATATTTGTTGTACATAGAAACTGCAATGGGCACGAAATTATCGGAAGAAACGTCAGCAGCAGGTGTATCTTACAAGAATGCAATACTGACACTCGGCCAAATATTTGCACAACGTTTCACTAAAGTGTATCTATTCATACATTTTCTATATAACTTATCTTCGTTCAAGACCATGCAGCAGAAGTATATAGATATAGTGCAAAAATTCACAGCAGATGTTATTATTAATCGCAAGAAAACTTTCAAGAAAAATGATTTAGACATGAGTTTAGCAGAAGCAGAAGACGATGGTGTTTATAAGAAAAGAAAGAGAGCTGCATTTTTGGATTTATTACTGGCCGCTGAGAGTGAAGGAAAAATTGACACATCTGGCATTCAGGAAGAGGTCGACACTTTCATGTTTGAGGTATTTAAAACTTTTGTTTTCTTGAATCATAGCAATAAACATTTTCTTATACTCAGTATTATCTAAATATTTTCTTGATTTCATAATTGTTATTATATATTTTACACAATTTGGTATTCCTCTGTGCAAGTCCGTTTCATTACTTCATAGATTTATATTATCTTGTTTAATTGATCACTGTTGCTGACGTTCTGGCCACATACTTTTATAGTTCATATATTATATTTTTCTATAGAATTTTATTATATATTTTTGGTGTACAGAACTTTAATATTAAATAAACATTGTGACAACAACAATCACCAATAGGGAAGGGCGTAAATGTTTCTAGTAATGTTCTCTCTCTCTCTCTTATTTGTAATCTCATACATGGTAATAGTAGCGGAGTTAAACAAAATAACATAAATTTATTAAGTAATGTTGCTGCAATGTCTAATAAAAATAATAATTTAATATGAAAAAATAAAAATTATTTTGAGTGCATTATATTACTGTTCAATCGCATTTGCAATATTGTGTATTATTTTTACCTCATATTTATGATTGGGACAATAATAAATACAATAATTTATTAACTTCTTCATCAAGTATTTGGTTTATTTTATAATTTATCTGATCATAATGCTATCGGTTTACTAAAAACAAAATATTGGAACCAAATATATTACCTAATTTATATTAAAAAATAATATTATTGTTGTTATTGATTTATCTTTTAGGGTCATGATACAACGGCAGCTGGACTTACGTTTTTAACATTGATGCTAGCAAATCACCAAGATGCACAGGTATATCTTTATACTATATTTTTGCTAAGTTCCTTCACACTAATAACTATTTGTTGCTTGTATACACGTAAATTAGTAGTAGATATATTTGTGAAACGGTTTCATTTAGAATTTTTTATCGGTTGATCATGGTATATTCTTAATTAGAGTAGATATCTTGTAAATAAAATATGTTTATATTAACGCATAAAAATACAAATATCAAACAACAAGGCTTCAGTGACTCCAAAGAATTGATTACACACTGATTCAAATTGGGAGGTCGGTAATAATGTAGGTCTTTAATTAAAAATTCTAATACCTTATTTTTTATTATTAATATCTAACCCGTTAACGTTATAACATACTAGCTGTGCGGTTTCAACTGTTGTTTATAGCTTATGTGTTATTCCGATGTAGAAGCAATATTACTATAAAGTTTCATAAAAATACGTTCAGTAGTTTTGACGTATAAGAGTAGCAAACATCCATCCTTACTCATAAATGTTCGCGTTTATGATATTAGTAGGAAGGTTTATTATGAGGTACAAGGCAGAAACGTGATAATTATTAGTACAAAATATTCCAAAGTATTTTACAAAATATCCAAATTTCGTAACTTGAAGAAATTACGTACTTACTTTTTTTGTACTTTATACATTCTATATTCAACTTAATTATACAATTGAACTTCTACAAATATTAACTACTAGCTACTAGCTAGCACAGCTGTGTTCGGTTTCACCCGCGTGAAATTTAGCCTATAGGTTATTCTGACGTATAAGCTATATTAATGTAAAGTTCCATCAAAATCCATTCATACTTTTTGCGAGAAAGAGTAACAAACATGCATCCATATTCACAATATTTCGCATTAATAATATTAATAAGATTCTCTAAAGTGTTATAGTCGACATATTATAGCAGATTGTCACAACATCCAAATATGCAACAATAAACAAATGTACTTTACAGCAAAAAGTTTATGAAGAAATGCAGGGTATATTTGGAGATTCAACAAGAACAGCTACAACTGATGATCTATCTCAAATGAAATATTTGGAACTTTGTATAAAAGAGACTTTAAGACTCTATCCCCCAGTTCACTTCGTGGGAAGAGTTTTAAATGAAACAGTTAAATTAAGTAAGTGTTTTTCGTATTATTAATATTTACATTTTGTATTATCTATAGAAAATTAAAGCTGTAAACTAGACTACAGAACACTAATTACTTTTATATTCATACTAGCTGACCCTGTAAACGTTTTGCCATATAAATCAAAATCGCTATTAAAAAATAAAGGTTTGTGATAGAAGGATGAATATTTAGGGTTCTATGTATTTTTAATGCCACATTATAAAAAAATAATATACATAGTTTTGTCCAAAAAATAAAAAAAAATGTTAGGGGTGGACAACCCTTATCATGTGAAAAATAGATAGTAACCGATTCTCATACTTACTGAATATGCATATAAAATTTCATAAAAATCTGTCAAGCCGTTTCGGAGAAGTATGGTAATTGACATTGTGACACGAGAATTTTATATATAAGATCAGTGTAATCATTGTCCCTTAAATTCTAATTAATTGAAATTAATCATTTTCACCTATATTCGCAGGTAATTACACGATTCCAGCTGGCACTGAGTGTTTAATACATATATTTGATCTACATCGCAGCGAAAGTTTATATAAAAATGCAACGGCTTTTGAGCCTGAAAGATTTTTACCTGAAAACAGTGTTGATAGACATCCATATGCTTACATACCCTTCAGTGCTGGACCTAGAAATTGTATAGGTAAGATAAAATATTGGTAAAGTTATAAAAATCAACAATCAACATTACTTTGTCTATATCTATCGATAGTAATATTGTAAATGCTAAAGCGTGACAGTCTGTTGTCTGTTCATAACTAAAATGATAAATGGGTCTTATAAAATTTGACGTGAACACAAATTTTATTATATAGATCAACAAAGATTGTTTTTTACCTAAAAAATATTGTGGAGCTCTTGTTCTAAGTACTCTAGTGTTTAATTCTAATTTATTTTCTACGAACCTTTATTTGAGGAAATCTCCTTTATTTTATACATATTATCTTTCACACTTTCTATTCTCATTTAATTTTTAATAATAATAATAATACCCCTAGACAATTTAAATTGCGCCATCTAGTCCCACAGCAAGCAGAGTGTCTTTTATGGTAATTAGACAACTGATATAAAAGTTGTTATTCAAATTGGATTTACAGGTAAAAAATTTGCAATGATGGAAATGAAATCAGCAATGTCAGCGGTGATTCGGCAATACAAACTCGAACCGATAACCAAACCAGAGGAAGTTCGATTCGCCGGTGATCTTATTCTAAGATCTATCGATCCTATTTACGTGAAGATAGTTAAAAGATCTTAAATGAATTATATTATGCTTTATTACGTATCTCATGTATTCATAGATGTAAATAATGTAAATATATTATTCTGTCGACTATAATCGTATTGTAATAAATGTAACATTAAGTATGTATCTATTTATTTTCTTTATTCTTTATTCGTTATTGTACACACACACACATAATAAAAAAAAATTGTACAGAATAAATGTAATGTACAAGGGCTATATTAATTATCTCTCAAAAATTCAGATTTCTAACCAGCAAACCTAGAAAATGTTATAGGATCATGTATTAAATAGAATAGTCATACATATGTGCAACGATAAACAGGATGATATTAAAATATTGTTTTAATGATATTAACTATAAGTATCAATAGACATACATAAATGGTACATAAATAAATTATAAGACATAAGTTAAAATGTAATTATAATATATACCTAAATATATATAATATAAAAATACGTCAGCATTGTGAACGATAATACGCTTTTAATCGGCATTTGAATATTTCAATACTAGAACTGGCACGTATTTCGTGAGGTAAAGAGTTCCATAATCGAATAACCGTCACCACAAAAGAGCTGGAATATGCCTGCCCAGAGTGTACTGGAGTCCACAAGAGTAATTTATTCTGAGATCGAGTGTTCATTTCTGTCGGATGGAGAAATGTGCAGAAGGATTATGCAAGATGTTGTACAGAAGACTGAGAGTGTGAACATTCAGTCGAAAATGAAAGGGCAACCATTTTAACTGTTTACGGTATTGAGTTATATGGTCAAACTTACGCAAACCAGAAACAAACCGAATGCACATGTTTTGGAGACGTTCCATTTTGTTGAGCAGTTCACCAGTGGCATCAAGAAAACAAACATCTGCATAATCTAGGAGAGGTAAAAGGAGTGTATGAGATAATTTGACCTTCGTTTTAAATGGAAGAAATCTCTGAAGAGGCCTTAAGGAGTGAATGGTCCCATATATTTTCTTACTCACATGTTTAATGTGAGAAAACCAGGAGAGGTCACTATCAATGTAAACACCCAAGTCCTTTACTGTTTTAACATAAGAAATTATATCCCCATTGTATATTATTGAAGAAATGTGCATTGAATCTAATAAATTAAGCATATATCTATTCTGCCAATTATAATCGATTGTGATTTTTTGGAAATGAAATAACAAGCAGACCATATGCCTTAGCAAGCCACAAATACACTCGAGTTCCGTATTGATCAAGGAGATAGCATTATCAACAGATGGTAGGTCAAAACTGCGGTACAGTTGTAGATCATCATCATCATCATCATCAATATTTCTATTTATATGTATGTATATATATATATGTAAATGTGTATATATCATACAAGTATATGGTAATATTTGATGAAACGAAGAAAATCAATCAATCAACCATATTTCTGCTGCTCATACTTTCGCACTAAGTGGCTTTTGATAATACATTTTAGTCGTGATAGCATCGTTGCCTATTGATTTACTAGCCTGAAATAAACCTAAGAGATCGTAACTTCAAATCTGAAAGACGGCACAAACTAGTCTCTACTGTTATATTTCGGACTGAGTCTCTGGTGAAAGAAACACTGATATTAAGAAAAAATAATCCTAGATATGTAACCAAAAACAGATTAGTACCCGTAGGCAGAGTTGTTATTATAGCACTTCTTTTTCATGTCTAGACTCAAAGAATGTTTTGAATTTTTTTTATACACATACGATGTCTTATATATACGATATAGATATATGACGTAATTTACTTATGCGGCTCACATGATGGTAAGTGATTACATAATGGCAAGGAAGCTGACTATTCCACGGTAACTGGTAACTGTTGCCTATATATATAAACAGTACTACGAACATCCGATTATCCTGTGACGGCAACATATACATATATCACTCATGTGTAGCTATTCCGGTGGACTAAGATGTCATGTCTTGTATTCTGCAATTTCTATGGTATATTTATTTATTTATTAAAAAAATAAAGTAAAGATGATCACAAATATACAAATAAAGGTGCACATGGCAGACTTATAATAATAATAATCTCAGGACAATTCACGCAGCGCCATCTAGAACCAAGTTAAGCTAGCTAAAGCTTGTGTTATGAGTACTAGACAACTGATACAAATACATAGATAATTTTTTTTTCGTAAATACATACATATTATACATAGAAAATACCCAGACCGATACAAACAATCATACTCATGAATACAAATGTTTGTGCCGTGCGAGGAATCGAACCCGCGACCATCGGACATAAAGCGGTGTGCTAGAGGTCGTCGACTTAAACCTTTGTGGCATTTTCTTACATTAAACCATAGGGCAAGAGAGTTATATAGGCACTGCATTAAAGAAAAATATAAAATATAAGATTAAATGTGTTCATAATCATATACAATACATAATATTAAATAAATAATTATATATGTGAATAATATTAATATACAAATAAATATATATATATATATATATAAATCAATAGTAAATGTTCGATATGCAGTAAGTGTTATGTATCTGAACTTTCAAGCGAGAGACTGATTATAAAGAAAGTTGATTGGCGTCTAAAATAAGTAGACAAAGGTTAAATGAACTAGATAATAATTATGTTATGACTTTAATACTCTCATAATTGACAGTCATAACATTGTAATTATCACATTAGTTTAAAATCGTTGTATTACACATTGAAGGTTATAAGTTTAATTTATTCAGATGTTTTAATCATTGTCTGAAACAAAAGATAAAAATGTCTAGTCACAATATAAGCCGTAAATAATGCAGAGTTCATGAACTTCAGTAGTGGTAAGAAATGTCTGTTGCTATGGGCATGATAATACTATTTTATATGTAATAGCAGATAAGCTGACAGTCCGCCTGATATTAAGTAATTACGTAGGTCACACTATTATATGCGTAACTTAACTCTGTTATCAGCGCGACGGTTGACTGATTGTAGAGAATGCATCAAATCATCAGTATCGTAAGCTTATTTTCCGCCATGTGTAGAAACTCCACCTCTCTCAATTTTTGTGTGCAAAGTAATAAATGGAGAGAGAGTTGTCACAAAACATGTGTATTATTCTATCTCTATCTATCTATCTATCTATCTCTGACCAGCACGATGATTGAATAATGATATGTATATAATTTTATGTGCAAAATAATAAATAAATTGTAACCAGTTCCCCTCACAGGGACAAAAGAAGCATCTCATCAAAGGGAATATATTAAAATAAATAATAATAACCCTGGACAATTCACACAACGGCGTCTAGTCCCAAGAGAAGCAGAGCTCCTGTTATGGGTACTAGATAACAGATATAAATACTTTTTTTTGTAAATACATACATAATATACATAGAAAACACCTAGATTGATACGGACAATGCTTGTATCATGCGAGGAATCGCACCGGCGACCATCGGAAGTAAAGCGATGTGCGAAACCACTAGACCACTGAGGCTATCACATAGCACTACGGATACCATCTTATTCTGTGAGAGCACCTGTTAGTTGATATTCTTAAGGTCTTTTATCCTATAATTTAGGTAGTGACCTAACCTCACTCTTCAATTGGAATACAGTTTTCGAAACAAGCTGCTTGGCATCTGAAAAAGGTGAGACATAGACACAGTTAAAAACATAGACGAATTTTTACGAAGAGGTTAAACTGTAATAGGGATATAACTAATATCTAAAGTACTAGTAAGATAACGTTTGGTCTTAACTAGAAATATCTTTATCGTTATAACATTTTATTTACACATAGTACAGTTGTAAAATTATGACGACGTCGAAATTTTTTCGTTTGTCTGTTTATCTGTCTGTGTCTTAAAGTTACACGTAAAAATGGTTGGAGGAATTACAATAAGGTATATTTATTGTAATTCCTCCAGCCATTTTTACACACAAGGGTAAATAATTAATTAAAAATATTCATATAAAGTAACTAGAACGATACAAATAATCATAGTCAGGAATACAAATGTTCAAGCCCTGCGAGGAATTGAACCCGCGACCGCCATAATAAAAGTGGTATGTTAAACGACTGGGCCACCGAGGACTTCAAGTTTACAGCTAATTGCTACTCACTAACTATTATATACATTACTATTATTTTTACGCTTTATTATAGGTGGTATATTTTGTATTTTATTTAGTGAAGAAGGCAATGCTTCTGTATAGATAGCAATGTCTTGGACCTTACCCAAAATTAAATTTAAGAGATGCAATGGCTCGAGCAGTGTAACAATTACATTTCTTTATTTGTGGTAGTCCTTTGATAGCCATCACAGTTGGCAACAAAATTAAATATAGTGTAGAGTGGTAGATAAAAAACATATTGTTATGACTATTCAAAAGTGCTTAAATTAAGTTTATTTGAATAAGTGATTTTCTATTCTAAAAAAATATTTACACATACAAAGCTGCGGGAATCACTAGTTTAACAATAGAAATCTCCACTACAATGTGACAGATAAGCGCAGATAAAAAAATGTAAATAATATTAAATAAACTTGACCCTGATAGTGAATGTTTTTAGTGGCAATTAAAACGATAAACAATCGTCTGACTTTTAACTTTATATAACTGGCACATTCCAACGGACGTCAAAAGGGGGGAAAGGGGTTTGTTAGTAATGTGGACTGATGACCCCATTGCTAACAATGTACCTTATCAGGTTGAATTCCATGCGGTTCCCCTTGGAAATCATCTTATCATCTTCCACTGGTGACCCGCCAGCTCAAACCGTTAGCGCAGGCGGGCGCAGCATTCCATTATCAACCATAAGAAAAAAAATAACCGTCAAATGTAACCACAGACGGTACATAATCATGTGGAACTTCATTATGCATTATCATTCTGGAAGGCTTAGACATCATGAAAGTACTAATCAAATATCAATTAAATGAATTCTATGAAGCTCTAGTAACTGTGCGATGTGGCGGAAACACTGCCTATAGAGCAAGAAGTATTGTAATATGCAATTTAAATAGGAGAGATGTACCTAGAAAAAAATATATAAGATGTATGAATCATTTTTACTGTGGAATATGAGCAAAATCTTAAAGAAGACTGACTTTGTTTGAAAGAAAAAATTAAGATCCTGACACTCAATTAGGTACATTCCGATAGCCGTGGTTTCGATCCCGAATCCTTGATATGTTTTAAGAATAAACGTTACACAGAATACACTGTTAGTTAACTCACTAAGACAAAATGAAGAATCTCTATCTATAATTACACTCAGTTATGCCCATTATATAATTTAAAAATATATTCACACTATTTGTTTGCATGACATTAATAAAGATAAGATGTAGCTGCATCTGTCTCTGTCTGAAATACTATATGTTTGCCAAATACAGTATTAAATGTATGCTGTGGCACATCTCAATGAAATATGGGTGATGCTATTCACTGATTTTATTTATGTACTTAGAAAGCAAACAAGCTGACGGTCCAGTGTCCATGGTGATACCAGAAACGTCGAGAGAGGTAAATACCTTTATTTGCCATAAAATTAGTTCGTATTAAGATCCGGTTAATAATATAAATAATGTATAGTAAACACGAAAGTTTTAAAATAATACATGCGTTGCCATTTCATAGGACCAAGACGTCATGTCTCTATGTACTGCACTTTAACTGTTTTATTTTAGCCAATAAACGAAATAGCGTACAAAGCTGCCGGGCGGCTATGGGTACAAAAAGAAATAATATGGCTATATATATATGTATATCAGTTCAGGTTTTTATGAGTTTATTCTTTAACAATAATACAAAAAAATAAAACCTCAAACTTTTTATATAGTAATATTAATGTAGTGTTAGGTATGTGAGTAGGGGCAGTATACTTGGTTTGTTGTGTATGTATATAGAAAATATATATAGATCGATAGAATAAACTTTATTTGTAACATACGCTAAAGAAAATGCATAAACAAAATATTTAAAAACATGTATAGTTGCAATAAGGTGGTAAAAGAAAGTATATTATAATAAAAGTAAAACAGACATAAAGTTATGTAGAACAGTATAAAATAATTAAGAATTAGGAGCACAAGGAAATCCGTTCGTCTGCTGAATAAGTCGTTTGACTTTTTTATTTTACCGCCCAAACTTAATGTACCACAGATACACAATATTGCACGGCGCGCAGCCGCAGTAGAATGACGAGCGCGTCATAGCTGTATGCGATGTTAATACTAGTAGGAGTATTAACAGTAGATATATGATTATCACATTTCTTGTAGATAGCAGTTATTAGGTAACACAATAACAAGTCTCTACTTCAGTATCATTACATAGTATAAAACAGTCGCTGTCGCTGTCTGTCCGTCCCTATGTACGCTTAAATCTTTAAAATTACTACTTTAGTTTTTTTAATAGGTAGAGTGATTCAAGAGGAAGGTTTATGCATAATACATGTACACCCGTGCGAAGCCGAGGTGGGTGGCTAGTATAGCCTAAAATTTACATTTATCTTGAAAAATTCGCAATTATGATATACTTACGGTGATTACAAACGTCATTTAAGCCAGAATACTAAAAAAAATATTCGGCATAAATATTTACATAGTGTAAATATTCTATTATTACTGTTTTAAATTTTGACGTTCACAAGCGATTTTTTTCAATTTAATCTATGGACTAAATTGGAAGAAAAATCCTAAAATATATGTTATGCATAATGTTTACATTCAAATTTAGGTATTACTTATAATTGTCTTATCTGCATATTCATGATAAGGCATCGTATTTAAACATACTGGTCAATGAGTATACAGTTATTTTTTTTAGAGCCGCTTGTGAAATTATGCTTTACATATTATTGATTATAGCGTTAATATTGGTGCTTTTGCACCTTTATATTAATTACCATGAAGATGCTAGAATATTCTTGAAGGTGCCAGGGATGAAGGACAGATTTCTTATTGGGAATGCTTTGGAAATATTTGTACCTCCAGGTAATTTGAAAACTCACATAATATTTAGGTATAAACTAGGTATTTCTAAAATAAAAGTAACCTTAGATACTCCTTATAACACGAGCTATCTGCAAGTAAAAGTCCCATCAAAATAGATCCAGATGTACTGTAAATACTTTCATATGCATTTAGTGAAAAACCGTTTGAATTAACAAACAAATACTTCAATTTTAATTATTTGTATAGATGTAAAAGATTGTAAAGTTACATTTATATATGCTGAAAAGATATTGTAATCTATTGTAAACGAATGGTATATTTATACACTGTACACGGTCTTACCTTACCAAACCTTATCACACATTTGAATTTACGTTTGTATTAATTTGGGTATTGTCTGCCATATATATATGCGTGTATAAGAAATACGTATTCATTATTAAAAGATTTTTAAACTTTAATTAACTGTCAAAACCGCAAAGGAACATATGGCCATGCATACATTTATTATGTACAACTCTGGGTCATCTGTAAAACATATTTATATCATATTTTATTGGTTATGAATTTTCAGCTAAACTGTTTACATTAAGAACTTCGTTGGCTAATAGGTTCAAAGGAATATATAGATTTTACTCTTATCCCTTTAAATCTATAAATATTTATAATCCGGAAGATGTAGAGGTAAGAAATCCTGCTTATTTTGCTCTATTGTATTTTGGTATTGTTATCTTATATATAGAATTCTCGTGTCACAATATTAGTTACCATACTCTTCTATATCGACTTGATCGATTTTTATGAAATTTTATATGCATATGAGAATCAGCTAATATTTATTTTTCATACCCTTAAGTGAATAGGATTGTCCACCCTTAACATTTATTCTTTTATTTTTTGGAGAAGTTTTTTCCTATGAATATAATGTGTCATTCAAAAATACATACATACCTATATTTTCACTATTCTGTCACCAACCCCTATTTTTTAATAGCGATTTTAATTTATATGGCTAAAAAACGTTTGCGACGTTAGCTACTAGTATTTTTTTTATTCATAATATATTTATTTATCAATTTTCAGACTATATTATCTAGTATGAAATTTTCTGAGAAGTCTAGTTTGTATGGATTCATCAAATCATGGCTCGCAGAAGGGCTCCTACTTAGTAGTGGTATGTATTTTATATATATATATTTCTCTTATTTTTTTAGTTTTTCAATTTTTAACCGAAAACATTATCTATCATTTTTATTATGAAGATATTATCTAAATGAGGTGACAGTTTCAAATTCTTATATAAGCCATTAGAATATTTAAACGCATTATAAACTGCAGAAACTAGGAATTGGGTAGTTCAGTTTGTCTCGACTTGATCTTACCAACTATTAATAGCAGACTCTCGCAACTGCGTCGGCATCACACTTACCTGACATTTATCATTATATTTCGCCCAATTTGCTTAATATCTTTGTAAATTATTACCTATGTGTATTTCTGATGTATAAGCTTTATTACTGAAAAGTTTCATCAAAATCAGTTCAGTAGTTTTTGAGTAACAAACATCCATACTCACAAACTTTTCCGTTTATAATATTAGCAAGATTTGCTAAAAATACACAGGATAGCTGGTCATTATTTCATCTAATTTCAGGTTCAAAATGGCAACAACGCAGAAAGATCTTGACACCTGCTTTCCATTTTGATATTTTGCGACAATTCCACGTAGTTATGGAGGAAAACAGTAAACGACTGACAGATACTTTAGCTGATACCTCAGAAGAGATTTTTAATATTAAACCAGTCATCACTGATTATACTTTAAACACTATATGTGGTAAGACATACTATTTATTTTAAAGAACAAACACACTCATTTTAAAGGCTTTATTTTGGTGAGGATTATACCATTATTATATCAGCCATTGTGAATTCACTACTAAACGTGTTTATATATTAGCGTGATGAATAAATTTGACTAATTATTTTATAAATTAGATTATTATTTGCGTTAGATTTAGAATCTAGTATGAATGCTAGTGAGGAGACATATGAAGCCTAAACAATGTTGCCTCGAGGACTTTTGTCCTTATAGCTTATTATTATTAGCTAATATATTTGAGTATTAAAAGGATGGATAATAATGTAAGTTAACAAAATATTTTATTTTGGGTAGAAACTGCTATGGGAATGAAGTTATCAGAAGAAACGTCAGCTTCTGGAATTTCTTATAAAAAGGCAATACTGAGTCTTGGAAATATATTAGCACAACGTTTCAGTAAAGTATATCTATTTGTCGAGTTTATTTATAGCTTATCTTCATTGAAGGCTATGCAACAGAAATATATAGATATAGTGCAAAGATTCACAACAGATGTAATTAATAAACGAAAGAAAATGTTAATGGAAAATGGATCAACAATTGCTCTAACGGAACCAGAAGAAAATGACGTTTATAAAAGGAAAAGGAAAGCTGCTTTTTTAGATTTATTATTAGCAGCTGAAAATGATGGACTAATTGATAGGAGTGGCATACAAGAAGAAGTAGATACGTTCATGTTTGAGGTACATGTAATTGAGTTTACTTTGATATCAGTTCAAACAAATTCAAAATTGATATTTATTTGGATTAGAGTTCTGCACTTTGACGGATTCTCTCAATATTTTAGTCAAAAATACAATTTTAACCAGTAGAAATACATATTAATATTCAAAGGGTAATTGGAATCTAAAATAATCAGCAGAAATGTTACTTTTTTTTGGAACTACTCTAATGCTGTTAGCCGTAGCTGGCTTTTACAGATTAACCGGACGGTAAGAGGTGAGTGCAGATGGCATTCCAAACTTGCGGAAGGACTTATGGAGCGGCTGAAGGCCAACTCTCCGACATAATGGACACGACTTTAGTAGAAGGCACCGCTAGGGTTTCGAACGTCGTAAAATCGATTCCCGTTTGAATTGGAAGGAGGATCGATCGCAGGGGACATATTGCATAAATTGTTAGGTTGTAAAATGTTAAACTGTATAGTTACTAATTCACAAATACTGTACTATTTGTATTATTTTTACTTTTTGTAACGTATTTCATAAAATTTTATTTCTTTATTCTTACTTTGTCTCTAATCTTTATTAATATTTATAGGGCCATGATACAACAGCCGCTGGAATTACATTTTTGTTTCTGATGCTCGCAAATCATCAAGATGTACAGGTACCTGAATCTTATATATCTTAAATAAAATAACTTAAACATACTATACTTCATCATCAATACATTTTAGGATAAAGTATATGAAGAAATGAAGAGTATATTTGGTGATTCAGAAAGATCTGCTACTACCGATGATTTATCACAAATGAAGTACTTGGAACTTTGTATAAAAGAAACTTTAAGGCTTTATCCCCCAGTGCACTTTGTGGCAAGGATGTTGAATGAAAGGGTAAAATTAAGTAAGTTTGTTTCTTTGTTTGTAATACTTTACAGTACAGTTAATAGGAGGTATTAGATACTTTCTGATATCAGGCAATACTAACATTTATTTACTGGCAAACAGAGTTCTATTTACTTTACATTATCTTTGCATAATACTACCATGAATTAGCTTTGACATTTTAAATAAAGTATATTTCAGTAAGTACGTTTCAAATATCACAATTTAGTTCCCAAAAGTGGCATATAGAGAGTATACATACGAGTGAATACTGATTTGTTCGCGGAAGTATATTTCACTAATTATTGGATTGTGATTATAATATCTACCAACTAAACTTATGACATTCGTAAAGCCCACATTTATTTTGTTTGTAATTTATTCATGTAGGACATTTTAGCCGCTTATGAACGTCAAGTTTTACATTATAATTTTATTTTTTTACCCTACCGTTCAATTGAGTTTCTTGCCAGAAGAACTGGCAAGAAACTTAATTGAATTACTTTTTATAAGTTATTAAACAAACACTACATTTAAAGTCAAGCTTGTCGATTGGATGTGGTTTTCACATATATTGGTGTTGGTGAAAACCGTATCCAACTATATATAACTACAAACTTATCAATTTAGCTCATATATCTATTTTGCGATGCGTATTTTGCCTCGAATTGATCATCTTTAATTATCAAAAATTAGTTTTAATCAGGATCACTATTCCGTAATACAATTTTTGATAATTAGAGATCTGAAATCTTAGTGTTGATCGTTCGGTATAAGATGATGAGTTAATCGTGGTCTGGAATTGCAGAATTAAAATAACTCTAAGTCTATTATGACTTGAGAAGTAAACATGTAAGTAGGTACTATATTAATATTAGTAATAACAGCCGCTACAGAATAATAAGTTAGTTTGATTAATGTTTCATTTGTCATTATATAATATTTTGGTGGTATCCATAGCGTTCTGACACGTTCACAGATTCCTAAGCTAAAAAAACAACTCCTTAGTGTAGTTTTATATTAAATCAAATCAAATCTAATATCATATCATTAATTAATACATTTTCACCGCATATGAAAGTCAATTTTTTTTATATTAATATTGTTTCCTTATATTGTATAAATATCCTACTTAGAGTCATCTAATGGTTAACTTATAAAACGACTATACTGTCAATACTGTTATCCCAGATACCATAAAGGATGATGTGGATCAATTTTTAAGATGTTGTAGTTAACGCATGGACTGGATATTCCACATTTCGTTGGATATTTGAATCCAACATAACAGGGCCTACTGCCGTCTCCAGGAATATTTTTTGGTTTTATATCGGTATTTCGTTCACCGGAGAGTCGGTCCGTAATATAAATTGACACATGAAGATTTCTTGGTGTCGGCCAGATTTGATATCTTGAATTCTTCGTTGTAACTGAAGGTGATAGCGAAATTATGGTTAAATATGATTATAATTTATGTACTTTTAGACACATTCTTTAATAATTAACCAACCAAGTAAAACTTGAGTAATTTTAGTAATAACTAGCTACTCGCCCAGGCATTGCACGGGTGTACATGTGTTATATATATAAACCTTCCTCTTGAATCACTCTATCTATTAAAAAAATCGCTTCAAAAACCCTTGCGTAGTTTTAAAGATTTAAGCATGCATAGGGACGGACAGACAGCGACAGCGACTTTATTAAAAAATATTTATTCATATAGGACATTTTAACCGGTTATGAACGCCAAATTTTTTGTATTAATATTTTTTCCGTACTTAATTTATAATTCCACTTTATTTTTTAATAATGTATAATAATACTATTCTTCTGTTGCAGGTAATTACACGATTCCAGCTAATACTGATTGCATGATACATATATTTGACCTACATCGTAGGGAAGATTTATATAAAAATGCATTAGCTTTTGAGCCTGAACGATTTTTACCTGAAAATAGTGTAGGTAGACATCCGTATGCTTATATACCATTCAGTGCTGGACCTAGAAATTGTATAGGTAAGATACCGATTGAAAATATTGTATTTATTAAAGTGTACTGTTCATGATATTATTGTTAAATAGCAATGGGTAAGCGGAAAATTTTCTAAGAAGCATATATTAATATTCGAGAAGACTTTCGAGCGATAATTTCATGCAAAAACAAGGAAACATGCAGGAATAAGAAATCATTCTGGATTAGTAGCCATGTAAAGTTCTTATCAAGAAGTACTACACAGTGGAAAGAAAAAAAGAAAGACATTGAATACTATTGAAACTAGATCAGGAAAAGTGTCTGAACACTTGATACAGTACAAGAAATTTATGAAAATTACTATTGAGGAAAAAATAGAAGAAGGAAGACCAAGGCACAGCTATATCAAGCAAGTTAAAGACAAAATTTGAATCGTATCGTATTAATATTTGAAGAAAATGATGGAATATTCTGGAAAGGGCTACATCGACTAGAGCATGACTCTTAAATTATGAATGAAACATAGTATTAATAATTTATTTATTAACTCTTGCTTACACCAGAAGTAACCACCAAAGTATATAATTCTAACATTTAGGCAAACGCACTTTTCTTATTACAAATAAACATAATTATTTATTTCAGGTAAAAAATTCGCAATGATGGAAATGAAATCAGCAATGTCAGCGGTGATTAGGCGATACAAACTGGAACCGATAACCAAACCAGAGGAAGTTCGATTCGCCGGTGATCTTATTCTAAGATCTATTGATCCTATTTACGTGAAGGCTGTTAGAAGAAAAATATGAATTTATAACTCTTCTTCGTATTTGTAATATAAAATTTAATAAAGGTTTGCCTAATTTTAACTTTAATATAAAGAAAATAATAAAAATAAAATTTAAAGAAAGTCAAAAAAGTTGCTTTTTTAGAAACAGAGAAGTCATTAATTTATTTTAGTTATTATAATAGCATTCGTTGTCGAGAGAGTCTAAATAATTAAACATTTTTGTGCTATAATATTTCCAGTAAATGTTTCATTTTTCATTTTGCTATAGTGCGGTGCAGTAGTGCTTTCTGAATGAGTATATTAAATGACAAAATTTTATACGACTATTCAAAAGTCCCAATATAAGGACTTTTAAATAAATATTATTTTCATTTTTTTGCTATAAATAATTTAATTTATTTAGTTCTTTATCAACCATAACGTTATGATGTGACGTTATTGTTATCATGACCTACGGCTTATCATATTATATTGTGACGCTCCATGTAATGTTTTTAAAGTACAGAAGTTTGAGTGCATATTGATATAATTTTTATTTATAAAATTCAATATGAAAAAGTTGACACACATGTCGCTGTTTATTATTTTTAATTAATGCTATTTCTTAATTCAATAAGGTTTTCAAGAGATGAAGACACTATCAGATTTAATAATTAATAAGTATTGATAAAATTTCTTTTGAATGAAGAACTTGTTAGCATTCCTTGAACTCACCGTGCGGGAGCCGGGTCCATTGTATGTTTACATCTTTGTGCAATATACAAGTTTAATGCGTTCTACCATCTCAAAAAAGCAAACGAATTCGCTGGTAACAACTAGTAATAATCTATATATTTAGTAAAGATATTGACAAATCTATTAAATATGAAGTTGTGATATACATATTTTATTTCAGCTTAGGTTTTCTATTTTGGCTAGTTACCCACATATGTGTATATATCCAACCTGTTTACAGATATTACCTCACATTGTAAATACGCCGAGACTTTCATACAAAATTATGTTATCTGTAATCGCGTTATAATTTGCTATATTCTTTAGCTCTTATTAAGTTCCGACGGCACGCTGTCGCATATCGAGTTTGATGTCGTCCTTTTACGAGTTAATATGACGCGAAACGCTTTCAGAAAAGTCACAATAAAGGGGCGCACATTGGATTTAATATCAGCTTCCGAAAAATCGTTTAGTATGGCCACTAGACGCGAGATATGGGGCATGGTCTACCACAGTGTCTCTGTCAGGCCTATTTTACCTGCTAAACAGCTTGCATTATGAGCAATGTACGAGTGTGATGTAAGGGAGCGCAAAACCACCCAATAGTGGTCCAAGTCAACCTCACCTGCTCGTGGTATATCCTGCTAATGATGACTTATATTGGGAATAAGATTGGGCACATATTGGGAATAAGAGCAATAAGCAAGTTTTAGTGCTCTCAATGTATCTGTATTAATATCAGGGATGTTAGGGAGCTCCGTAACCGTAACCGAAACTATCGGATATCCGATATAAAAAAATATCCGTAACCGTAACCGAATCCGAAATAAGAGTTTCGAATAAAATCGGGTAGTGGCGGAGCCTAATTGAGACACGTTATGTAACCATTTTATTAGCTATTTGTATTTTCCTTTTGAAATAATAATAATAATAATCTCAGGACAATTCACATAGCGCCATCTAGTTCCAAGTTAAGCTAGCTAATGCTTGTATTATGGGTACTAGATAACTGATACAAATACATAGATATTTTTTATTTGTAAATACATACACATAGTATACATAGAAAATACCCAGACCGATACAAACAATCATACTCGTGAATACAAATGTTTGTGCCGTGCGAGGAATCGAACCCGCGACCATTGGACGTAAAACGGTTTGCTGGACCGCTACACCACCGAGGTCGTCAAAATATGAATATCTGCAACCGAAATTGCCCGAAACTAATCCGAAATAATTTCATATCCGCATCCGTATCCATATCCGGTATAATAAACTTCATATCCTAAATTTCATATCCATAACATCCCTGATTAATATGTGAAAGAAAAATTTAGTACAGAGGAGTATGAAATTTATATAGAGTGAATGAGTGCAGATTTTTTTTTAATGAAGCATAAAAAAACTTTAAACACACTACCATGTATTTGACACTCACACATATATACTTTTTTGTCTATTGCTAAAGTCTGTGGAGAAATTGAGAATAGACCAATATTATTTGTCTATAGTCTTACTGAATGTTAAATCAATTCTGATAGAATTTCTACCACTGGGCGACCATTAGTCATAATAATTATACATAGTTTTAAATTACTTACGGAATAGAAACGCTGTTTCTATAGCCATGTGGCCTTTAAGAGTAAATTGCTGTTCTCGTGTTCGCATTTAGCATGTGTTTACTGTTCCGGAGCCGATAAGAATCGTTACAATGCCTCCATCGGCATTTCTCACCTTGCCATCATGCATGAAACTTGGAGACGTATTTTCGTGTAAATTTTGATGACAATACGTTACACATCAATGACGAAGTCTTGCCATGATCAGTTCGATTTAGGGCAGATTGATTGCTTCTATACTCGTATATATTTAAATCAAAATCAAGGAATTTATACAATAATAATTGACGGCCTCGGGTGTCTAGCGGTTTAGCATATCGCCTTATCTCTGTAGGTGGCAGATTCTATTTCTCGCATAGTACAAAGATTTGGATTGTTCTGGATGTTTTCTATCTATAATACGTATATTTTTACAAAAATTTTCTATCAGTTGTTTAGTACCCATAATACAAGCTTTTCTTAGCCTGAGACTAGATGGCGCTTTGTGGATTGTCCAAGGTTAGTATTATTATTACAGACAATAGACATTTTTGTTCCATTAAAATACAGTACCATATGTGACGGGACGACTCCTTAGTTTTCTGGTAATAGTAACGAGTGAGGCTACTACTTGCATCATATAATGCCATGATGATGAGAGGTGAGATGCTGATCATCTGTACAGGCAGTAGTTCGTAATTTTCATCAGATTGGTAGCTTAATTGCCATTATAGTTACATAATAAAAGTTTAAAGAACTTCGCGCATCTTATATGTGATGGGTATAATGAGTTTAGGATTTGTAAGGACTCCGCTTTCGAATTTAAATTTCGAATTCTATTTTTAAAATATTAAATGAATATTTAAGCAATATTATTTTAATTGAATATTAAACTTTAATACTATTTTTAGATAAATAAATATGTAAAATTTTTATATCAAATATACAAATTCAAAATTTAATTATTTAATAGAATATTAATGAAATTTAAAACTAAAAATTATAATTAATACGAGCGTATTAAATACCATTATTTACGTAATATAATCAAAACATCAATAAAGATATAATAATGTATATAATCCAAATGAATATACTATTTTACCTCGTTTAAATCATTTTACACATATTAATTTTTTAATTAATTTATTTATTTCGCATTACCGTAGCGGTGGTATACAACTCCCTTCGGCCAGAGTCATCCTTGATGAAGGTGGACAGCATGTTGCTGGGGACCGATAATTAATACTCACACCGAGTCATTTAATAGAACAGATATTACTAATACAGACTGTATTACAGACTGTACAAAATCTTCTAGAACGTTACGTAACTTCTGGTAAGTGTATCAAAGACGCTGCTTCCAATAAAATCAATATAAAAATCCTGTTACCTCTGATACAAATTGACAATGCCTTGTTTCTAGGATACGATAATTGTAGACGAGCGACAGATAAATCTCGGGCTTACTGCCAATCATTCTACACGAACAGCTTATGGATCAACTACACACGAAGGACGCTTAATGCTCTGCATGTACAGATGTCTATGAATGCTATTGGGACTGCCCTATTACTGCAGCGCGGCCAGCATGTTGGCAGCAGTTTACCTCGAACTGACGGCTTCGCTGCAATCATGCGCAAAAAGACTGCATTTTTGTTAAACAGAGTAAAGGGCTCATCCAATGGTATTATGAAGATAATTGGAGTAAAATTTAATTGTGGAGTTATTAGAGCGACGATAGGCAAAATGATTGTATAATATTAATTGAATTAATGTAACGCACTAATATAGTTTTTAAGTTACTCTGTATTAACTGTATTAAATCATAATCTTTATTGTCTAAAAATTTTTTTTTTTTTACAAATACAAATACTTAAGAAGTCCCTGAATTCTGAGGTAGGTATAGAAAATACCTGTGTTTCAGAAGTCAGTGTCCTCTTCCATATTGAGGTGTAATTTAAGTGAGTTTGTTATGATATTACAATTTACGTAGGTTGGTGTAATCATAGGAGTGTGTGTGTGTGTGTGTGTGTGTGTGTGTGTGTGTGTGTGTGTGTGTGTGTGTGTGTGTGTGTGTGTGAGTGCGAGTGTATGTGTGTATGTCTTGAGAAATTGGTGATAATATAGAAACGCTTATAGAAGTGCTATTACCGTATCAATAATTCTGTCTGTTCATAATCTAGTGTTAATAACCATTTCTTAAGGTTGTTTTTGGCTATATGGTGTGTTTGACAATGAAAATTTATTTTTTGTTAATTTTATTATATATATATACACACATGAAAAATTGTTGGCGTCTTGCAAAGGCTGTACGACATTTGATAGGAACGCAAACATTAGTTATAGTGCGTTTTTTTTTTGTTGTCATTTGTATTGTATGGAGTTATGTTATACTGTTTTAAAGTCAGATGAAATATATATAGTTGTCTAATTGTTAGTATCTGACATTTTTCGTATAAGGCCTTTGTAGGGAATCTATAGTGACTGAAAGTCATTGTCTTTAGAAGAGATCCTCGCTCTAATGATATCATATGCGTTTTACAAGCTCCACCCCAGACTGTAATACAGTAACCGAATACTGACTGAGCCAGGGAGTAATATATTGTTCGTAACAGATTGAAATCTGTCACATATCTCAACTTTTTGAAGGTCCATACAAGTTTCCTAATGCGCGAAGTTAGGTCAATATGTAGTCGCCAGT